TGTTAATTAAAGGATAGCAACCTTATACCATTAGGTAATGTTTCAGATATTAGTGAAGATGGTTGTGCTCCTCTACTAAGAATAACAAGGGTATACTCGGTCCCATTAGCACCACACTCAAATGTCACATTATCATTGATATATACATATTGTGTCTCTGGTACAATAGTGAAGATGCTGCCTGAAACTAAAACATTATTTAGATCTAGTTTTAATTAAATAATGACTCACCAAAACAAGAACAAAATACAAAAAATATTGCTGTAAAAATGTCCCTGGTCTGCATAGTTGCTGATGAAGAAGAGTGTCCGGTTACAAGCGCCGGCCAGCCGGCAATTATCATATCTACTGTTGATTTCACCATAGATAATGCATGATTTCACCATAGTATCTATGATTTCACTTCAAATACTGTTGATTTCACTTCAAATGGAACACCCGGGCCGTGGCCGGGTCAGCCATTTTTATCACGTGAGCTTACTTTCAGAATGACCGGATCCCGGACCCGGTCCGCCCGGGTGTTCCATTTGAATTGAAATCAACAGTAGAACACCCGGGCCGTGGCCGGGTCAGCCATTTTTATCACGTGAGCTTACTTTCAGAATGACCCGATCCCGGACCGGTGGGTGTTCCATTTGAACTGAAATCAACAGTACAGATCTGGCCCAGAGAGGGGGCCGGACCAATTCATAAATTATTTTGGTAGAGTAACGGAGGTAGTTTACGGACACCTAACGTTTGGAAGGATCTCACTGGTCTCACGATTCCTTGGTACTGGATGTGAGGTGTCCTTTGGAAAGCAGTGGGTCTACCAGATTCTATCCATGAAGGATTTTCAGAAATTCTTGTCCTGGGGATTTTAGGAATTTTTTAAAGGCTACCGGGTGATGGAGTTAGTTAGCGGACAGGTGAGGCAGTCTCCGGACAGTGCCGACAGAAATCGACCTTGTAGTGAATCCAATGACTTTTCTGAGGTAACTGAGTAATAAACTAAATAGCAATGATAGTAAGGATGAAATTTAATGATTTTTTTTAGACTGGATAAGTGTGTAAATGCAACTGTACTGTTTTGAATGGGGTGTGTCTATTTTTAGTCCACAAAAACCAGGTTGTGCACATCCAGCAAATAAAATCATCCTTTTTCATTCCTCTACAAGCTTTGAAGTGCTTGGGGGTGCATAGGCTTATCTCTGGGTTTCTCCTTAAAACACATGCCACCATTC